TCTCAGAGGGTCTGCTGGGGTAATAATGGTTGTAAAGCGCATAGAGCATGCTCTTGAGCATGGATATGCGCTATATAAATGCAATTATTAATATTAATATGGATCACTATATTAAGACCATGAGGTCAGAAATCATATGCTCTATCTGCTACATCAAATTCCTAAGATTCTTCGGAGTCGTTACCACGCTATTAATAAAAGAATTGAACTCCAAAAAAGCTTGAAATTTCGTAAAACTCAAACATTTTTGACGTCCCATTTCTCAATACAAGACACTGAGCAGATAGAACTTTGTAATTTTAAGGTAGCGATTTGAACCAGGCTAGGCAACTTTTTCAAACCCCAATCTGAGAAGTCCATTGTTATATATAGCATACGATCAGATCTACGTACCTTACTTTTTACTTTTTTCTTCCGCTCGTACGGTGTGGCGGGGAATCTACGAACCAACAAACAAAATTATCAAGTGGGACTGTTTTTTTTTTTTTTCGTGTAGCGCAAGCTGTTTCTTCTAGAATCCCTCTTCAGTTTGGTACAAGTTTTTTTACGGCGCTCGCATAAGGTCAAAATTTTGTCAAATTCTCCAAATGCCCAATCTGTCACAGTCCCGGGAAATTCGGTGCAGTAATGTTGAGAAGTCTGCGTACACTTACTATTCATTATTATAACTAAATATGAACCATCATGGCGAAATCAGGCGCTCGTCAAAATAGTGAAATCGAAGAAACTGGCTTTTTTCTACCAGTTCGGCAATTTTTTGGTGGAATTTTTGTTTTTGGGTTCAACACCTGTTATGTCCACGTAAAAACACATTATCGTGTAAATTTGACTAAAATCGTTTATTGAAAGCTTCATCATTATCATCCAGTGCCAGATCTGCGACAGACATCGGCGATCATGGTTTTCAATTCATTCCTTTGCTCGGACGCTCTAAAAAAAAGCTACGTTTCCCTGATCTTTCCCTGTTACCCATTTCTTTAGGTTCCCTAAGTATGTTGTTCTGGGCCTACCCCTGCCTCGCTTACCCTCAATTACATCAATAGATGTTCAAAACCCTTATGTCTATTCAGTTGTCCCAAAAACTGCATTTGTCGTTTCCTAATTGTTTTTAACATTGAGCGTCCCACGTGGGCTTCATCAAGCACTACCTCATTTGATTTCTTTTCCTTCCACGATACTCTTAGCAGTCTCCTAAG